GGATTCATTTTGTAACTTGAAGGTTACAATTGAAACTCCAACATATGATAAAGAGCATGTGCAAGATTGAGCATCGTCGGAAGTCAAGAAGTCCAAGAGTTGGATAGTCATTCAAATAAACATAGAAGATTGGGTTATTACCTAGAATGAAGAGTTAATGTATGGAGTCATTATAGATGCCTTGTCTCGTTGATGATTATGTGACGTAATCATCCTAAATGGTAGATAATTGTAATGCCCGCAAATTCGGGCTAGTAAATTTAGAGACAATCAGCATCAAAAATGACTTTTTAATAGAAGATTATTTAGAATAAATAATCTTAACCAGGTTATACTATATTTCACAAGGGTTCCGTACATATAAAGAACGCTGAAATTTGAGTTATAACGAAGAAGTTATGACTCATCGAAGTTTTGAGACAAAACCGGCACAACTCCGTCTAACGTAAAAAGTGAATTTTTGATAAATTACTTTTTAGCCTTAGGGATCTAAACGAAATTCATAATATATGTTAAATTGAGAATGTACACAAAAAGAATGTTTAAATCTGACTACGTATGAGAAAATTATGATTTTTCTAAAATTTAGCATAGTAGTGCATTGCACGGAAATAGAATTTTAGATAGATCGATTTTTAGCCAACACAATCTAAATGTGAATTGAATATCTCATTAGTGGGAGCTCAACGACATAAAGACAGTCGAAAATGGACGTCGGATGAAAAAGTTATGAATTTTTAACAGTTTTTAACTGTCTATGTTTGTTAAAATATAACTGTAAAAATAAAGTCAAAATTAGCCAGCGAAATCTAAACAAAAGTTATAGATCCCATCGATATCTACACGGGATATAAACAACATAAAAAACGGAGCTCGTATGCAAAAGTTATGGGTTTTAGAAGATAATTAGTTTTTGGAGTAACTAGCGAGCAACACATGGTGCTATCTGAGCCACTTCTTCCTCACCACGGCTTGGCACCAGATGATGACACCTGGCCACGAATTCCAATAGTTCAACAAGGGAACACCCCATGTTCGAACCAACTCAACCTATAAATAGAGGCGCAAATCACCCCAAAAAGTCACACTTTTCCAATTCATTCTCTCTCAAACACCCCACTTAGCCCCTCTTATTCCATAGCACATTTCAAGTGATAAAGGCGAGTCCTGAAGGGTAAGAAGACTCCAAGAAGAAGAGCTTTCGGCTCAAAATTTGTGTCCCCATAGAGTCCGGTTCCTAACCAAACCTCCTAGTAAGTGAGTTAAGCGGTACAGGGAATCTGATTTGAAGGACCGCATACGGTTTTTGGATTTCAAAAGTGTTATAATGCCAAAAAGGTCTTGCCTCCGGTGTTTCATGTCTGGCCCGTTTCTGTACATAGTGGTTGAAAAGTATTATTTAACACTTATAAATCAACATCGGTCGTAAATAATCGCAATAAATATTAGGCTAAAATCTAGTGGTAATAATACTAGGTTTCGACGAAAAAAATAGAATAGTTAGAAGCGAAGCGTTGTTCGAGTTTGGAATCGTCACTTTAACAAGTAAGTTCATATTTACTTTCATCTTGCACATAAATAGGAAGTATTTAATATAAATTATGTGTTATGTGTGCATATTATCTATGTTTTTGATATCTATGGTGGATGAACAAAATATACATGTTTTATTCGATTTAAACTGTATACATATTTTATACCTATAATTATGATAGGTAAAGATGGGTAGATTAAAGATGAGATAAGGTGAGATCTGAAAGATGAGATGAATGATGAGATGAAAGATGATATAGATGATGATAATTGAAAAGATGATGAGAAGCGATGACCCAAGCGATGGCTCAATCATCAAGCATAGTATAGATGACAAACACGAACTATTCTAGACGGTCCAGTGGAGCACAAACGGGCTCGCAACCTGTAAGTGTTATGAATGATGTGTTCACTAGATGTACTATAAAAATCCATTAACATGTATAGTGGTTGGACTCCCCAAAATGATAATGTCAATAAAAGAGATAAATCCTTGCAGCTACAGATTTAACGCCTCACATACAGACATTGGCAGCTATGGACTTAGTGCTTGTTCAATAAACCCTGGAAGTGATGGACTTCGTTCCTATTCTTTAGGACAATCCTTAAGAATAAATATTGATGAATAGATGATTCTTAGGGAAGATACTTAAGAATAAAGAAGATAATGGGGATGGGTAATTGGGTTAATTATTTGATGATGAAGCATAATAATTATATTATTGTGGGTTTAAAACCCTATGTACTCATCAGGTTTTCCAACCTGACCCACTTAGTTTATTTGCATCACAGGCATCGATACGAAGCTACATTACACTGAGAGATTAAAGGAGATGTAAATCACTAGTGTAAATCAGGTCGATTTATGCTTATGTTTATGTATTGACGATGACATCCCAAAGTTTTATTATAAACAAAATACATTGCATCGGAAATGTTTTGATAATATATTTATCATGTTTTCTGGGAAAAAGTTCCGCAATATTAGTTTTAAAAATGAATACTTTGATATTCAAATAAGCATAAATAAAAAATTTAAAATAACGGTGAATTTGGGGATGTCATAAAAATGTATGTTGCTATTTTTGTAAGATAATTTAAATCTTCTTTACTATAGATATCTAAATCAGTTGAAAAAATATGTGAAACATAAAGCTCGTGTGGAAGGGTTCACTATTAATGCGTACTTGCTTCATGAAGCATCAATATTTTTTTCTCATTGTTTCGAGACTGGTGTCCCCACACGTAATAGAAAGTTGTCTCGAAATGATGGAGGAGGAGATGAGAAACCTGATGATAACAATGAAATTTTAGATATATTTTCATATCTTGGTCATTATTATGTAAGATTCATGAATAGTGTTGTCTGATGAGTAATTGCATGCCACGAAAAACTTACATACTCCTTAATGAAGATAAGATCAAACATTACATCGGGTAATTAACATATACTTCACTTTTAATTATAGTAATCATTTGTTGTGTAATTGCTCTAAATAACATTTGCATGCATGATTTTCTTTATTACATTATAGTAACTTTCAAAATGTTATTTAAATGGTAATAAGTAATATTTGAAGAAGATTTGAATAAAATTATTGGGGAATATGGATGAACAAGAGCTTGCAGCAGAAGTTGAGAAGAACTTTGCAGTATGGTTTCAAAACTATGTGGGTGTTAATTGTGTATTGATTAATTTTATTATTTTTTGTTATGGTTATAATTAACTCTAATTAAGTGTTTTACCATTTTTCATATAGGGAGATAGGATCCGGATAAAGAACAAATATATATTTGACCTTTCCAAAAATGTCATTCATGAGAGTGAAATTATATAGTGCATACTTTGACAATGGTTACAAGGTTCACACAGAAGCTCATGGTCTAAAGAAATCAATAATCAATAACAGTTTGTGTGTTAGTAGCCAAGGAGGTGATTATTACGGTAAGGTAGAGGAAATTTTAGAAGTCGGGTACCCTGGTTACCCAATTAAAACCATAGTTTTGTTTAAATGTCATTAGTACGATTCAACACCTAACATAGGAGTTAAGATTCACAAACATTATAACTTGGCCGGGATAAACATCAAAAGAAAATACAACAACTTCGGGTCGTTTGTTTTTGCCATGCAAGCCACTCAGGTGTGTTACATTCCTTACCCAAGTTTGAAAACAAACAACTTTGATTGGTGGACTGTATATAATGTTAAATCTCATTGTTGGACTGATCTACGTGTAAATCATCCTCAAAAAGATGTTGCTTTCCAAGAAGATGAAGTTGAATCAAATGACATGATTATACCAACTACAACCGATACATACAATTATGATGATCACAACATTTCATGTAGCGGTTTAGATAATGAAAATAACATTGATGAAGAAGGTGAAATTCATGAGGAAGACAATGATGGTATTCCTGACATCGACAGTAGTTATGAGTATAGTATATTGACTAGATGTTTTTGTTTCTTTATAGAAGAATGGTTACATTGTCTAATTTTTAGTTTTTTATGAGAATCGGTAAATGTGATGTTATGTATTAGTGTCCTACACGAGATTTAAATAAAATGAAATTTTATCATTCTTTAGTACACTAAAAGCATTCACTAAAAGGGGACATGTGTTTTTTTGAGATATTTGTGTGTATAATATTTTCATTAAATATCCAATTAAGTAATCGTTTATGTTATAATCTAGCTTATTTACATTGAAAAAATGAAAAATTATTCAAGGTAACATAAACATAATAACACATGTTTATTCTTTCATGTACTATTAAAGACATATAAAATGCAATAAAAAACAAAATATATTACCAATTCAAAAACATATCATTCAAGCAATAGTTTCACTACAAGAAAAACAGCCTTTTACGACGCTCATTGCGCGTCGTAAAAGGCTTAGACGACGTGCAAATGCGCGTCAAGGAAGGCCCTGTCATAAAGAAAGACGACGTACATTCACGACGCTCGTTTACGATGCGCAATTACGACACGCGTTTACGACACGCAATGTGTATCAAGGAAGGCCCTGTCATAAATGAAGACGACACGCATTCGCGTGTCGTAACCTTACGACGCGCGTGTTAATGACACGCAATGTGTATCAAGAAAGGCCATGTCATAAATGAAGATGACTTACATTTTTACGTATCATAATTTTAAATGTTTAAAAAAATATTATTTATAGATTTACTTATTTTCAAATTAAATTTGTATTTAATGTTTCATAATAGAAAATAAAATATCATATACAAAAAATAGAATCTATTGCATAAATTTAATGTCATACAAATAATCGTTCCATGGAAAGATAAAACAAATCAATAAAAGTTGTAACAAAAATTTACAAACTAATTAGATACAAGAAATATAAAAAAAAAATATACCCTCAAATGCTTTTCAAAGTCTAATCTCTATGTCAGGTCTTCAACTCACTTCTGCAACCATTGGTGGTTGTTGAGTTCACCTGACATCCTTGTTGGAAAAATTAGGGTTTCCTTCAACTTCTCTTACTTTGTCCACACCCTCAAGCTTCTTTACTGCAGCCTTACGAAACCTTAATCTCAATTTCAATCCATGTATCTCATCTTCCCTTTGTTTTGCCTACAAATACCCCAAAATATAGTAACAAACCTTCTAACTAAATCATAAAAATATACATTTACTTGTAATAAAAGGATTAGAACCAACTATGTTAAGTTACATACCAATTTCATGGCAGCCTGGCTTTCAGCGGTTACTGCCTGTAATGTCAGGTCTTTATCTTTTTCCCTCCTAAAAGCACCAACAAGGGTTACTTCATATTCTTTCTTCTGCAAATAAATTACACACAACCTCAACATTTTTAGAATTACATCTTCTAAACATCTTTCATTCCAAATGCCAAAAAAAGAAACTACTATATAAGAAATAACACTTAATCACAAACACTGTATTTTCAATATATTTCTTAGTGTACTTTTGAAAATCTACTCAATTATAATAACTTGGGAAAAAATTTTAAGAATAAACAATAAATGAATGTTGGAAACTGTAATAAGCAAATAGAAGAAAGTGATTTTCAACTGAAACAGAAAATTAAAAAGTTTATGACTTTATTTTATCAGTGACAATAACAAGTACCTGAGACATCCGTTTAACAGCAGTAACTAGACTAAATGATCCTTGAAACCCTTCCCATCTGAAGCCTCCCGGAGATCCCACCGCTCAAGCATCATTTTCATGATTTCCAGTTCCAGTTCCTCCATTAATCACGCTTTGCAACTGAGATACTTCTTTCTAACAACCACAAAATCTTCAATTACAACGAACACCATAACACACACACACACACATATATATATATATATATATATATATATATATATATATATACTCTTTTGTGTTATTACTTGCATTTAATCAGGTGTTACTTATATATATATATATATATATATATATATATATATATATATATATATATATATATAAGTAACACCTGATTAAATGCAAGTAATAACACAAAAGAGTATGGAACACAAGCCTCAGATACGGTTTATGGCTTCGATCTCAACATCTTTAAAGTGATAAATAGAGAATCAAATTAGTACATGAAGCATAATGTATCTTTCAAGTTCTTCATTCTGTCGATCAAGTTCAGTTGTGAAACTATCACCATCAGAAGACATAAGTGGTGCTACTCCAGTCATGCTTCCACTTGCTGAAATGATTAAGGAGTTTCTTTCCTCATCATCATATGATAATTTCAAACCATTGGATACAGTATGTGGGTTTGGAATGCTTGACGGGTGATCAGATTCTTCATTATAAAATTTTTGGTTCAATGATATCGGAAGCTTTTTCTGCATTAAATTAGTCTCAACTTCCCTTGATCGTTTATTGGGCCGAAAGGCAGGGCTATTATGCTCTCTACCAGGATAATTTACTGGATCAACATGATGTATGGCTGGAACTGCCATATGTAAAATCAAACATTAGATAACACAGGGTAAAGAGTGATTCATTAATCTTAGAATCATGGAAACTCACCATTTCCAAATAGCTGCAATTGGTTTAAAGGATACTGAAAGACACTACTAGAAAAATAGCTTTCTGATATCTGTAATAACACATTTTCAGGGTATTATTACTCATGATTTCAAGAGACCAATTATCCTTCCTGTTTGACCATGAAAACAAAAGGCAGAACATAAAACATTTAAAATAGGGTAAAGGGTAACAACTTGTATGTACAAGAACCTAAAATATACATAAATCTCGAGATTTAAAAAATTGATATGTTTGACCATGAAAAGTCAACATCATCTTTTTGTTAATAGAAGTAAAAAACGATGTATCACAATCCGAAACGCCTAAATTCACATCAATCTTGAAATGATTATAATATGAATTTTAACATTTAAGAGAATAAAAGTAGAAATTTTACCTGCAATGAATAGCAAATTGCCATTCTCTTCAGTCTCAGCTCCACTAGGAATGGATACGCTTTGGCGAGAACACTCAACCATGGATGAACATCAGCTCCCCAATCCTCCGGTACTAAATTGAAATCTGAAAACCTCGGTTTCCCTATCAAGGTTACGCTCCGAATCTGAGGAATCCTCCTGGCTACAATCTTTGGCGGCGCCGAGTAGTAATTTCCGATAAACACATGACGTCTGCTCCACTGCTTAATGTTGTACCAATCTTTACATACTAGAGACACGAAGCTGCGGTCCTTGTGAGAGTTTATCGGTGAGATTTCTCCAAAAGCTTCAAACAATCGTGGAACTGATTTCGGTTCAAGACTAACAGACAAAAACTTCAATCAATCGTGGAGGCAGTTTTAGGAGTTTGACATTATGGGAGGTGGGAGCGTATTCTCAGGCGAAGGAAGAGGGATAAAAATCATTTCGAAGCTTGATCAGTACTGGGAGAGGGGATGCATCAGGTGCAAGATACGCACACATCACGCATCAGGACCTAGGGCTTGTAAGTACAACAAAAAATCATGAGAAACCTTCATCGTCGGAAAGAAATATTATAGATGGAAGAAACCCCTGTGAGAGAGAAAGCAAGAGTCGATTTGAAGCAACCGACAGATGAGACTGAAAGATAGAGGCGCTCCACTCTTTTTTTTTTGTTCGTGTCACCATACATCAACATAGAGAAATCGAGAACCCCTACGATTTGATCTGTTCAAAAGACGGGATCAGAGATTTGGTGATATTGCGATTTTGTTGTGGAAGAAAACAGGACTGGTGATGATATTAGGGTTTTTTTGGGTATTAGAGAGACAGAGAGAGAGAGAGAGAGAGAGAGAGAGAGAGAAGAACGATGGAAATAAGGGAGAGGATAACAATTGCAGCCTTTCAAACATTTAGGATTTTCGTTTCCCCCCGGCTGAAAAAGAAGAGAAAGCGCCTTTCATTAGAAAAATATAAAGCGACATTTCTAGACGACGCCCATTTTTAAGTAAGTGCCCTCCGTGTTTTTAATTTTTTTTGTTGGACATTAATTTTAGGGGGCGCACAAAAGCGTGTCTCTTATCCTTCAAATTTTAGAAGAGATGACATTACTTTTAGGGTACACGCTTTTGCGTATCTTAAATGAACGTGTGTCATTGTTTGCGCGTCATCAAAGGGCTGTTTTCTAGTAGTGTTTACATATTTCATTGATCATAATAACAATTCCTCCATTGATCATAATTACGATAAGAAAATTAATTAGGGATTCAACGTCCTAACAAAGAAACAAACCAAATACACCATCATAAACTTGATAATTCGAACTACCGTCAACTTGATGGCGATTACCATGTTCATTAGTATCTTGAATACCAAATTGAGTCGGGGTTTCCTTGACATGAAAACTGACAGGAGCGTCCCGGAGGGGCATCTAAAATGACATCATCACCATTAGCTTGAGCTCTCAACTCATACATCTTCTCTCTATACCACTTGTTCGATAGTTTTCGGTCGATCCAATGAAACAAAACCACAATTAATGTATTCATCATTGTATTTTGTGCAGTCAAGGAACCTCCGTCCAGTATTCTTTAATGTCCATGCCATCCACATTCCAATCGGATGTCCACGTTCGCACAACCTCACATTACTCCTTGAAGACAACGATATCAATTTGCCCAAATTTATCTTCTTCCACTTGTGGGTTTGTGAATATGGGAGCTGGATTTGACGCTTTATTTATGAAAATAAATTCCATAATATGGCACTATAATTGATGGAAAATACTTTACAAAAAATTAATTCCTAGCAAAATCGGTAATAAAAGTTGCAACATATTATTGCTCATTACTAAAAATTCCACTAGTTTTATCGTCGTTGCAAATTTCCATAGCTAAATATCTATGAATTTGAACTACTCCATATCAACGTTGCTATGGAATTTAATTTCGTAACAAATGTCATCACAGATTAGCTAGCCTATTTTTCTATAGCAAAACAAGCAAAGGAAATAAATTTCCATAGAAGAATTCCCTAGCAAATACCTAGGAATAGTACTTCCATAGCAAAGCAACTATTGAATTTTATTCTATTGAAAAATTTCGTTGCATATTAACCAAGATAATTAATTCCATAGCAGTAGTATAATGGAAAGTGTTTTTGTAAAATATTTCTTTGGAAAATTGCTATGAATTTTTTTTCTAAAGAAATATAGGTAGCATAATACCAACGGATATGGATTCGGTAGCATTTTCCTTAGCAAGTATCATGCTTGCTACCGGAAATAAATTCCGTAGAAAATGTCATAACAACCTTGCTATGAAATGATATTCCATAACACGATCCATTACAGATTAATAATGGAAATGTGTTTCATAGCGCCCTTCCTAGCAAAATTGTGTTTTTATTGTAGTGTACAACTAATGGTGCAGAAAAGCATCAAGTGAATTTTCACTCAGGAATAAACTCGTAACCCAGGCTAGACACATAGACCGAAGGCTGCTAAGCCTAATTTTGATAAAGGTTTTGAGATAACCTTTACTTTGAGTCGTTTGGCTTCTCAGCTCGACTCCATTACAGTGGCAAGCTCTACTTGTAAGGTTTAGTATCTTAGCAATAAGTCGCTTGGCTTTCTAGCCAGACTTCATCATTGCAACATGCTCCACCTATAGGGATCATAAGGCTCATAACCTTCGCCTTGGATCGCTTGGCTTTTTGGCCTAACTCCGCTATGATGACATGCTTCACGAACAAGTCTTGAAGGCTCACAACCTTTGCCCATCTATGTCAACACGATGTTGTTTTTGCGTGAAGTATTTACGTTCGTTGGCTGCTAAGCTCTATCCATTTCCACACGATTCAATTCTGCGTGAAGCATTCACGATCACTAGATGCTAAGCCCGATCCATCTCTTGAGCAAAATCGATGCGAGACTGCAACCAATAGGATTTAAAGGATAATAACCTTTCCCTAAACATGTCGATCTAACTCAAAGGACCACGTGAATTAATGCTTTAAAGACTATAAAAAAGCATAAAAATTCTAGAACAGCGTTGACCTACATGTCGAACTGGTAACCATTCAACGAGTTATATATCACTCCAAATACATTATAAAAAATACATAATTATAAGTTTTACATAAATCTATATACAATTTTACATCAAAAAGAAAATAAAATATAATTCGAAACAAAATATAATTTTAGATGAATACATACGTATCAAAAAAAGTTTGTAACATTACTATGTGTTTTTGTTTAATTTAAAAGAAATCTAATTAGATGTGACATGACCACCAAAATTGTTATGCAAAAGATTTCATTTTCGTGTGTTTTTATTCAACTTAATTGGTTTAACCGTTTTTTTTTTCTTTTTGTTAAAAACCGTCGGTTCGTTCCTATCCAGAAATATACATAAAACAAGTACTAGTTGAACTACTTTCTTCTTCTGTTTTCCAGTCCAATCGGTTCGATTACCGGTTCGAACCGATATTTAAAATATTGGTCAAACCAAATTTATACCGACACGTACGTAAATAAAAACCAAGTAATGATAATTTTAAATTTATGTCAAAATATTGACCACTTTAAACATATAACGAAACATACTTAAAATAAGCAGGTAAAAAAATTTTACAAGTTAACGAACAAAATTTTAATGAAAAATGAGATTATATATTATAGAGGATAAATACAAATATTTAGAAATAGAAATGTCGATATTATTATAATGTTAAAATGGAATCTGGATTATAAAAAAAAAAAAAAAGTAAAAAAAAAAGGGTAGGCTTGATTCTACAAAATTAAAGGTCGATTTAGGACAAAAAGAAAAATAATAATAATAATATTAATATTAAAAGGCTTTCATTGATTTTTAATTTATAATTGTGAAAATTATCACGCTTAACCATAGGTGACATCCTTAGACAATCGAGCTAAAATTATATATATATATATATATATATATATATATATATATATATATATACACACACACACACACACTAGGTTTCTGCCGCGAATCTTGAGAACATCCTTCAATCTCTAAAACTTTCAACCATTGTAGTCTGTCAAACTCCTCGCTCAAGGTTAGTTGTGCACCATCCCGACCATAAATACCATACCCGTACGTTCCAGGTTTATTTATGGATAGCTTATGTACGGTACTAACCATAGTTGAGGCGTTTGACCTATAGGTTTGAGTTTGTGGTTTTAGTTGGAGGTATGTTAGAATTTTATTAAGTGTTCTCCTTGCAGGTCAAAGTATATATATAACTCTTATATATTATTGTTGGTGAGGTTTGCAGTATTATTAATATTTGTTTTGTACTCCAAGACTACCAAGCATAGACGACGGTCAGACAGGAACACCGGAGGGTAGGACAATTATAGCAATTAAGCCGTTCTTAAATCCAACAACCCAATACGGCCCTTCAAACTAGATTCTCCGTACCGTAAGTAGTCAAGAAGTGGTGTAATTAATAATAATAATACTTTTATTAGAAGCTAGTTTCTATAGTTGTATTCCTGTTTCAAGGATACGACTTTTCTATGACCAGTTTAGCTCTGATACCAATCTATCATAGCCCCGGTGGAGGCGGCGGAACACGCTAGGCTGTGCGACTAATTTCATGGATCACAGGTAAACTGAATATTTAGCACAAGTACAACAAAAAAACAATATAACATCTGTTTTCTATCTTGATATTTGAATACAATGTTTTTACAAATAATAAGAACACATGAATTGCCTTAACATATAGAAATATAATACAAGTAAACTGGGTTACCTATAATCAAATCCGTCTTGAAGCGTGAGTTCCATTTGTTCGAATTCGTTTATTTTTTAGAAACTCGTCGTAAGAAACCACAAATCCATAAATGTTGACCTTTGCAGCACCTCCGGGGCCGTTTTGTAACAAAGATACACTATAGGGGTTGTTCTGTAATTTCGCTAAACTATACGGGCTGTTTGGTAATTTAATTTAACGAATATGACTGTTTTGGTAAAAGAATGTCAAATGAGGGGTTGTTTTAAATAATCGGGTTCAATGTTTAGGGGTTTGGGACTTCTTTTGAATATTGGGTTTATTAGGGAGGGTAGTTTTGTCATTTTATAAACAAAAAGTCATTTAGGGATTTTATGTATAAAGGGATCTCATGACGGACTATTTGTGTTTAAGTGGTCCAACTTAATGAAATTAGGGATCATACGCCCCTGTTTTTGTCATTCAAACGAAAGGAAGTCGAACACGAAGGAACGACATAGATACGAACAACGACGGCGGCAGAATGGAGCATAAGGCTTCGTCGGTCGATTCGCAAGCCGAGATTGAATCCGGGGTCGACGAGGCCGAAGCAAAGAAGGCGTGAAGAAGTAGCGAAGTTTCGCTCATTCCATCCGGCTGTGAGGTGCGAAGGAAGGAGGTCTAATAGGGAGTCTGATAGGCATATACCGGATCAAAATTGCAACTTAACAGACACAAGCCCAGATCAGAAATGGGTCACGGTAGACCATCTCCTGTTGGGACTTGACGAAGAAGAAAAGCAACCTCAACCTCTGCTGTCCCCTGTTATACAGACTTTATTGAAGGCCTATGCACAAGTTTTTCCCGATGAAATTCCCATGGGACTCCCACCTCCACGCTCTATTCAACACAAAATCGACCTTATACCGGGGTCTGTATTACCCAACAAACCTGCCTACAGAACCAATCCCAAAGAAACCATTGAAATCCGAAAACAAGTTGACAAGTTACTTGAGAAAGGACTAATTCGTGAATCTCTTAGCCCTTTGTGTAGTGCCTACTTTACTTGTACCCAAAAAGAACAGAGAATGGAGGATGTGTATGGATAGCCGATCCATAAACAAGATCACCATCAAGTATTGTTTTCCTATTCCAAGGATTAACGATTTACTGGATGAGCTTCATGGCTCAACCGTGTTTTCTAAAGTAGACTTGCGGAGTGGCTATCATCAAATCAAAATATATGAAGGGGATGAATGGAAAACGGCCTTCAAGACCAAAGAAGAGTTATACGAGTGGTTAGTTATGCCGTTTCGACTGTCCAATGCGCCAAGTACTTTCATGAGGCTGATGAATCACGTTCTAAAACCATTTCTGGGGCGTTTTATTGTTGTGTATTTCGATGACATACTTGTGTACAGCCAGAGTATGGAAGATCATCAGACTCATCTTGTTCAACTATTCCAGCTCCTTGATCAAGAAAAGTTGTATGGAAACTTAGAAAAATGCGAGTTTTTCACGAAACAAGTCAATTTTCTTGGTTATCTAGTTACTGACCAAGGAATACAAGTAGATGAGAAGAAAGTTCAAGCAATCCGCGACTGGCCCGTCCCGCAATCCATCCAACAAGTTCGAAGTTTTCATGGTCTTGCCTCTTTTTACCGGCGTTTTATCAAAAACTTCAGCACCATCGTCGCTCCAATGGCTGAAATTACCAGATTCAAAATAT